ATAGACCGAAATCGGTGAGCATGTAGGGCTTATTTGTTTACGTCGCTTAATAACAAAAGTATCATCTTACTTTTCGGCGCGGCGGCATTGCTCGCCGCTCGCTGCATGACTCTGCCTCTCGATCAGATAATGCTTTTGTTACTAAAAGACGTAAATAAATAAGTCATCGTACATGCCCACCGATTCTGGCCTACCGCTTTCTACCCACTCATTCGCTAGATATTTTTATTAATAACTCAATAATTATTGCAAGTTTAGCGAAATGATACAGGACTTTTCTATTCAGTTTAACATGCTGTACCCGTTCACGAAAGATAGTTCGCGAATTATGGGATACCCTGTATATTTACGTTTCTCATCCGAAATTACTCGTTGACGCACGAATTTCGTGTTGCCTTCCTGCAATTTCTGTCCTTTTTATTAAGGTCTTAAAATTTCGTATATCTAACAATAAATTTGTATATTGTATATGGTCGATTAAGAAATTAAGCACATGAAACAACGCCGAATACTCGAGCCTCGAGCAATACACGGAATTATTCTTTTTCTTTTCAGCGGTCCGTTCTGTTTTCTCTATCAGTCTCATGTACATGTCCTACATATCTCATCCCCATCTCTCTCTCTCTCTCTCTCTCTCTCTCTCTCTCTCTCTCTCTAATGACAATTGAGATAAAATTCTTTATAACTTTAAAGACGTAAGAAACATTTATAAAGTATAATTTGAAGCCAGAAAATATAATAACTAAAATATAATTTGGAAATTATTTTTAACTAGATTTATACTTGTTTCTACGTATACTTTGGGAACAATGAGAATTTTCGGACATTTATAGAAAACTAATTCGATTTATATAACTTTAGAAACAAGTTAGATATATATTATTTATTTTATTTAGGAACATTTATATATTAAAATATTACATGTAAAAGAGTATATATCTTTTATATATGAACATTTGTAGGACTAAAAATGTCCTCCGTTTTGTACTTTTGCAATAAGTAAGGAGAAATTAATTTAAGAAGTCGGTCTATCCGCGCGAATAAAAGCGTACAGCGAAAAGAAACCGTTTACTACCTTGATACAAAGCGCACAGTGAAGCAATGGAAAAAGCACTCAGCTCGATATTCAATATGTTAATGTTTTCTCCGATTATAATAGAAATATGTAATATTTTAATATATAAATGTTCCTAAATAAAATAAATAATATATATCTAACTTGTTTCTAAAGTTATATAAATCGAATTAGTTTTCTATAAATGTCCGAAAATTCTCATTGTTCCCAAAGTATACGTAGAAACAAGTATAAATCTAGTTAAAAATAATTTCCAAATTATATTTTAGTTATTATATTTTCTGGCTTCAAATTATACTTTATAAATGTTTCTTACGTCTTTAAAGTTATAAAGAATTTTATCTCAATTGTCATTAGAGAGAGAGAGAGAGAGAGAGAGAGAGAGAGAGAGAGAGATGGGGATGAGATATGTAGGACATGTACATGAGACTGATAGAGAAAACAGAACGGACCGCTGAAAAGAAAAAGAATAATTCCGTGTATTGCTCGAGGCTCGAGTATTCGGCGTTGTTTCATGTGCTTAATTTCTTAATCGACCATATACAATATACAAATTTATTGTTAGATATACGAAATTTTAAGACCTTAATAAAAAGGACAGAAATTGCAGGAAGGCAACACGAAATTCGTGCGTCAACGAGTAATTTCGGATGAGAAACGTAAATATACAGGGTATCCCATAATTCGCGAACTATCTTTCGTGAACGGGTACAGCATGTTAAACTGAATAGAAAAGTCCTGTATCATTTCGCTAAACTTGCAATAATTATTGAGTTATTAATAAAAATATCTAGCGAATGAGTGGGTAGAAAGCGGTAGGCCAGAATCGGTGGGCATGTACGATGACTTATTTATTTACGTCTTTTAGTAACAAAAGCATTATCTGATCGAGAGGCAGAGTCATGCAGCGAGCGGCGAGCAATGCCGCCGCGCCGAAAAGTAAGATGATACTTTTGTTATTAAGCGACGTAAACAAATAAGCCCTACATGCTCACCGATTTCGGTCTATCGCTTTCCACTCGCTTATTCGCTTAAATATTTTAATTAATAACTTAATTAATAATTATTACAAATTTATTTGTTTGTCACGGTAACGATATAAGACGTCGTTACATTTTTATAGTAACGGTAACGAATTAGTGGTTAGTTACTTTTTAATTCCTTATTATCTTACTATATATGCTATATACATTTGCCAAAGACTAATTCAGAGTTTTTAATTGTAACATATATTATTATATTTAATATAGATTATTAAGTAAGAGAATTTTAAAATCCAATAGCTTACTTTTTAGCATTACAAAAAATGAAAACGTAACAAAAAGTAACGAAAAAATAACGAATCGTTACTTTCTAAGTAATAATAACGGTAACGCGTTACTTTTTAAAATTAATAACGAATAACGGTAATAAGTTACTTTTTACAATAAGTAATTGTAACAGTAATGTGTTACTTTTTCAGAGTGACGGTCCCAACTCTGAGTTAAATGTAAATATTGTGAATTGTGTATTCTGATTATATAAACTATGTAAAATTTGAAAGTATTATTTCGGGACACCTTATTTTAATTGCCAAATAATATATTAAAAGTATAATTTGAAGGCTTCTTATATCCTAGAAAAATACATTTTATTAAGGTGTGGCGATTATATCGTCACATATTCCCCAGTTTACATATATGCGAAACTTACGCGGGACGAAAGGAAAAGCGAGACGCGAGACAAAATAAACAAGTGAAAAGACACAACGGACAAGACGGGGAGACAAAGACGATAATCGAGACTCGAAAACAATAACACAAGCGAAATTAAAAAGGATGAGTCGAGAAGATTCTCGAAGGTCGTAGGAACGGGCAGGAAGAGAATAGATAGCGCGGGTTCGAGAGATTCTCGTCAGTTATCGCGTGCGGACGTGCGACCGAAAAGGAAAAGTCCGATTGAAAGTCGTAAAATTAATGGATACGAACATTAAAAGGCCTCGATTCTTTTCACACACACACTCTCTTTCTTATATATGTGCATATTACATCCTGCACTGATCAATTGGCACGTCAGGTAGTTAAAAAGGTTTGAAATTTTCAAAAACTACGTATATGTATTCAAACTATAAATTTTACATCATATTTGATCTCTCTAAAGTATAGTTTCTAATTATATTTTACAAGTCTTCAAAGTATACGGAACGGACCAGATAAATTATAATAAAAGATGACCTCGAAGTAAGTTCACAATATATAAACTACATAAATGAATCAAGAGACACGGTAGTGTCTCACGACCAGTTAAGGGCGTAGCCGACGAGACACCGTGTATCTTAACGCGAGTCGGGCAGTTGTATTATTTCGGGACACCGCTAAATAATATTTAAAGTATAATTCGAAGACATGTCCTCGAAATATACATTTCATTTGAGTTCTCAGAGTAAATAAATTATATAAAAGATGACCTCGAAGTAAACTCACAATATATAAACTACATAAATGAATGTATTATTTCGAGACACCGCTGAATAATATATTTAAAGTATAATTCGAGGACATGTTCTCGAAATATACATTTCATTTATGAGTCCTCAGAGTAAACGTTGAGTATAAAAAATGCTTTAACACCCAAAATATTGTTTTATTTTTAAAAATGACAATTATCTAAACTTTGGGAGTTTATCTAATATGGTTTGCAATTGAAAAAATAGGGTGTCCCAAAATATACGCTGGACATATGAGGACATGTCCTCGAAATATACGCTGAACATATGAGAGCATGTCCTCGAAATATACATTTCATTTATGAGCCCTCAAAGTAAACGTTGAGTATAAAAAATGCTTTAACACCCAAAATTTGTTTTATTTTTAAAAATGACAATTATCTAAACTTTGGGAGTTTATCTAATATGGTTTGCAATTGAAAAAATAGGGTGTCCCAAAATATACGCTGGACATATGAGGACATGTCCTCGAAATATACGCTGAACATATGAGAGCATGTCCTCGAAATATACATTTCATTTATGAGCCCTCAAAGTAAACGTTGAGTATAAAAATGCTTTAATATCCAAATATTGTTTTATTTTCAAAAATGACAATTATGCAGAGTTTGGGAGTTTATTTAATATGGTTTGCAATTGAAAAAATAGGGTGTCCCAAAATATACGCTGGACATATATATATATATATATATATATATATATTTAATATTTAATTAAAAAATAAAAACAGAAATATATCTAATAATAATAATATATGAATTTTAAATCGGCCAATAGAGCCCAAGCGCGAAAAATTAATTCTTCGGAACTGTATCTCTTGGTTTGAGATTACTAAGTTCCATTTTTCTCGCCTATTTTTCTCCATATGTAAGTTTGAGATTAATTTATATATGGAATTTAGTAATCTCAAACCAAGAGATACAGTTCCGAAGAATTAATTTTTCGCGCTTGGGCTCTATTGTCCGATTTAAAATTCATATATTATTATTATTATTAATATTGAGAGTCGACATATATTTCTTATCTGAGAAATATATCTGTTATTATGATACAATTGCCATTTACTCAACGATTACTTGAGAAATATATATCTGTATACACAAAAAAAATCTCTAAATATATAAGCAAAATTTTATATACAATTGTCGATACATGATTTTGTGATATTATCAACAGTTGATAATATCAATCTCTTCAATTATTTTCTACTTTATCGATTTGATAAATATACATGTGTGTGTGTGTGTGTGTGTGTGTGTGTGTGTGTGTGTGTGTAAAATGTGCCACATCATATATGCATAGTTTATATTTAATAAAAATTTAATTAATAAAAGATTTGTAACTTTTGCTTGAACATTCATTATTTCGAATTAAACTTTAATAATTTAATTATTTTTAGTTCTGTTGAAACGTACTTTGTACTTTGTACTTTAACCAACCCAACCTGATCTGAACTTATTCCACTTGAAATATAAATTCAGTCTTCAGTCCCCTCTTCTTAGTTGATATCTGTGTATCTTATTTATCTAACTTTGCAAAGTCATATTAATTTTCAAATAGTACAATAAAAACTGTTGAGCCAACAGCAGGAATCTAGTATCTGTTCTTTAGTCTGTGTAAAATTAAATACTCAACATGATGCTTAAAAGGGTAAGTAACAAAAGAACAATAATTCCAATTTACTTGCTTTATTGAAATTACGTTATGCGATTTTTATAATTTTGTTGCATAGTATTTTATCTATAAATAGAGAATCGGTTATTTGTTCTTTGTATTTTCTGTATTATTTATCTTTTTTTCTCCAACAATAAGTATATATATATATAGATACATACATCCATACTTCATCTCCTTTTGTATATGGAAAATGCAATATTGCAGCTACAAAAGAGCAAAAAAACAAACCTTATGACAGTTAAAATAATTAGTATGCGATTTTTTGAATAAATTTTTATATGCTCAATATCATGCTCATATATTTGAACATCAATTTTCAGATATTCACTCCAAGAATGTACCAAAAAGTGATACGTCCATTCTCAACAGCTGTTGAACCTAATCAAGGATATAATTTTGGTTAGTATGAGATTAATCTTTTCAATGAGAAAAAGAAAAAATCTTTCTTTGTTAGTAAAAAAAAAAAAAAGAAAAGTTATTCTCTCAAAATAAAGTTATTTTTATTAATTTGAAGCAATTTTTCAAATTAAAAAGAATGTATTTTAAGTATTGAATTGTATCCTAGCAAACACCAAGTAACTATATTATATAACTGTTAGTTATAATTTTTTACTCAATAATGTAAATGCAATATAACATACGTCAAACGCATATGTTATATTGCATTTACATTTTTAGTGAGAAATTATAACACATGCGTTTGACGTATGTTATATTGCATTTACATTATTGAGTAAAAAATTATAACTAACAGTTATATAATATAGTTACTTGGTGTTTGCTGGATAAGTATAAAAGAAGTATTGATTTGCATCAAGTATTTCATCTTAATTTAAGAAATTAAAGTATTATCAATTATATATAATGTGTTTACCACCATAACCAATATAACCAGTTATATATAAACCTTTTAAATTTTTTCCAATTACTGTTTCAATACCATACACACACACACACATTATATTTGTTTTAGAATAAATATACATAAAATATACATATCAACACAAAGCGAATAATGCATATAAATAAGTACATCTAATGAAAATATTATACTTAAACACTTAAACATTATTTAGAAGCATACATTTTATTATTTTGTTATTGTTAAAAGTTTTATTATATATTTATAATCATTTTTATTTAAAATTATGTAAAAATAAATAATACATTTATTTATATTTGAATAAAAAAAATTTTATTACTCTTCTCTTGCATAAAAATGGTGTACAAAACATTGCAACTTAAGATTTGCATATTTTATATTATACATATAGATATTAGTACATTATATTATCTAATTAAAAAACAATTTTTTATTGCATTATTAGAACTTTCTGACACCCAGAGAGAAATGCAAGATTTAGCACGGAAATTTGTCAGAGAAGAGATTATTCCGGTAGCTGCAGAATATGATAGAACTGGAAAATATCCATGGGAACTTATCAAAAAGGCATGGAGTCTTGGTCTTCTGAATAAACATATCCCCCAACATTGTGGTATGTTTGCCTTGCGTGATATATTTATTATATTTATTATTTATGATTATATATATTTTTAAAAGATTATAGAAAAGAGAATAATGTTCAAGAATATTTTTCAATGCAAAAATTGATTCAGGATTATTTTTATCGCAGGTGGTTTGGAAAGTGGTATTTTCGATGCTTGCTTGGTTACAGAAGAATTTGCTTATGGTTGTACAGGATTAGCAACTGCAATGGATGCTTCAAGTCTTGGAGTCAGTTTTATTTATTATACATATTTCACTTCTGTGTCATATACAATTTTTAACAAGAATTTCTTTGATAAATTAAAATTTTTTTTTTTTTTTTTTAAGAATTTATTAGTTTTCAATTTTTACGAAATTATAAATATATATTAATCAAATTATTTATTATTATTGAGACACAAGATATTGGAACTTTTTGCCTTTATTTATTTAGCAAACTCCAGTCATTGTAGCTGGAACTAAGGAACAACAAAAGAAATATCTTGGAAGACTCGTAGAGGAGCCACTTGTTGCGGTGTGTCAAGTTTGCAAATATATTTATATTTAATCTAAATATTTTTTAAATGTAATGTATAACTTATATATATTTTTTTATTTTTTAATATAATTTTTTACAGGCATATTGCGTTACTGAACCTGGTGCAGGATCTGATGTAGCAGGTATTAAGACTAAAGCTGAAAAGAAAGGAAAAGAATGGGTAATTAATGGCACAAAAATGTGGATTACAAATGGCGGTGTTGCTAATTGGTATAATAACACGGTTAAATATCTGACATTAATTTATAAGGAAAATTCTTAAGTTTTTTACATACTTTTTTATTCTATAGGTATTTTGTTTTGGCAAGAACAAATCCTGATCCAAAAGCTCCAGCTGCAAAGGCTTTTACAGGTTTCATTGTAGAACGTGATAGTGATGGTTTAACTCCAGGTCGTAAGGTAATCTTTGATAACAATTTTTTATCTTATCTTAAATGTGTTAATTCGAATTTTTTAAATCTGTATTAATTATTTTTTCATTTCTTTCAAAGGAAATAAATATGGGACAAAGAGCAAGTGATACTCGAATGATAACATTTGAAGATGTTCGTGTCCCTGAAGAGAATGTATTATTGGAAGAAGGGCAAGGCTTCAAGATAGCTATGAAAACTTTTGACAGAACTCGAGCACCGGTATATTTCTATTCATGACATTGGATATTAAATTAGATAAACCAAATGAATTTAATATAAAAGGTATATATACTGATATTTTCATATTTATTACAGGTTGCAGCAGCGGCTGTTGGTTTAGCTCAGAGAGCTCTGGATGAAGCAACGAAATATGCAATGGAACGCAAAACATTTAATAAACCAATAGCAGAGCATCAAGCTGTAGCTTTTATACTTGCTGATATGGCTATTAGCGTTGAAACTGCTAGATTGTCATGGATGAAGGCAGCTTGGGCTGGTGATAGAGAATTACCAAATGCTACAATGCTCGCGAGTATTGCAAAATGTTATTCTGCTGATATAGCTAATAAATGTGCTACAGACGCCGTACAGGTAAATGCAATAATTTATACAAAAGACTTGTCTGCTCTCTATCGAAGATTAGGTACATATATATATATATTTCTTTTTACAATTTATCACATGTGATAATTTTCTATTTAAGGTTTTTGGTGGTGCGGGTTTCAATTCTGAATATCCAGTAGAAAAACTTATGCGTGATGCCAAAATTTTTCAAATATATGAAGGCACTTCACAGATTCAAAGATTGATTATATCACGTACTCTTTTTGCTGAAGCTAAACAAAAGAACAATTAACGTGAATAATCATTGTAAACTGAATTAGATTATAAGATGTATAAATTTTTTAAAGATTTAATATTTTTTATAAGCTTTGAAATGGATAAAGTTTTATATAAGATATAACTCATATAGTATTCTCTCTCCAATTTTATGACATTTTAAAGTGATAAATTTTATAGATGAATTTGAAATGTGATTATTGAGATTTTATATTCTTGTAAATATAATTCATAAATTTCATAATTACAATTTTATGTCTTTAGATAGTCTATATACACTTTTTATATGGATTTTTATGCCATAGTAAGATTGATTTAATTCAATACTGGGATATATTGTAATTATAAAAACGAAAAAAATTTTACTATGTGATTGATATGTAATTATGTTACAGAAGGATAAGATTTTTATAATACAGGTGCTGAAAAATTACATAAACATTGTATTCATTTTATATTTTTTAAGGTATTTAATGTCTATATTTATTTAATAGAGAAAGCTTTATTAGATCACTTTGTATCATTTTTTAGTACATTAATCTCTCTCTCTCTCTCTCTCTCTCTCTCTCTCTCCATTAGGTATTTTCGTATTTTGTAGTAATTCATTTGATAGTTCATTAAAAAAGAAAAGAAGAGAGATTATGTTTCAAGTATATTCATTTGTTATTTTTTGATAAACAAGTTTTATTAGACCACTTTATCAATTTTTTAGTATTTTAATTTCTTTCTCTCGCTTTCTCTATTAGGAATTTTTTAATAATTAATTTCCTAAAAATTTATTAAAAAAGAAAAGAGAGAGTATGATCCTAATTAAATCTACTTTTCAATATGCGCGTGCCAGAAGGAAGGGGATTAAAAAAAATGAATTTCCCGTTCAATCGAGCAGCTCGTCGCTCAAAATAACACAATTTCAAATCGCGCGCGCTCCCGCGGCAGAGGGCGCCGGCGGCGCGGAACGCGAGTGCGTTAGTCAAGTGCATTGTTCGTTGAAAAACGGATTGCACCGCATTATGTCTGTCGGTTCGTAGTTTTTCGCGCGGTTATATTCGGCGAAGTCGCGCGGTCCCCAAGTTATGCAACGTGCGCCGCGGAAGGGCGGCCCGCGCCGGCCGATCGGACATCGCGGCAGCTGACCTACTTAGCCTCAGCTATCGGTCGTATCCGAGACGCGGCGGCGAATCGAGGCGGCGGCGGCGGAGGAGGAGAGAAGAGAAGAGAAGAGGTAGGTGGACAGAGAGCGGGCGTGCGAAGCGAGAGAGCGGCCGAAAACTTTTTCGCGGCGATATACGACGATACTCGGCTTCGGCACGTGGATTCACGCGGAACCCGGGGGAGGGGGCAGGTTGGGGGGAGGGGGTTGTCTTTTGGAAATTGCGTCTTTCCGCCCGCGAGAGACGAGCTCGAGACCGCAGGACCGTAAATATGGCGGGCGATGGCACCCGGAATTATGTCATATTGCTTCTCTCTCACGATTATTAGAACGATATCTCCCTCTTTCTCTCTCTTTCTTTTGCTTTCTCTTTCGCGCGAATGACGTGACGCGCGAGCAAGCGAGAAAGCGAGCGCCGGCGTCTGCGAGATTACGTTTCCGCGATTAGCTTTTCCCTTTCGTTCGCGGCCACTGCCGTAACGTATTCGTGTTACGTAGACATATATATGTAGATATAGATATAGATATATACTGAAGTTGGCCACGTAAGTAGGCGGCAGGTCTCGCGTAATATCGCTCTCCCTGCGATAACGAGCGATCGCAAATCGCGCGCTCACGTGACACTTCATTCGTTCGTCACTTCAGACTCGTGTAAAATCGCGTGCGCGCGACTCGAATCGTTTCCCGCCAGAAACGCACTCGCGGAAGCAAAATGGAGGCTCCGGACGAGAATTTTGTCCGCGGGACGTAATCGAGTCGCGATAATCTCCTCAGGGAAGGTACTTACGTCGGAAGAAACGAAAATCGAAAGACCCGGCCGCTTTGGGATACGCGCGTTCCGCGTATGACAGGTCTCGCTACGGCCCTGACAGCTCTCGCGCTGTCAGAGCGCGACAGTGCGCCGGACGCTCGCTTGACTAAGGGAGTGCCCGTGCCGATGCAAAGTGTAAGTGAAGTGGCCTACAGACCTACATTTGTCTAACGTCCCATTTTTTCGCGGCCCGACAGGCAGGAGGTTGACAGATACGCGCGCGGATATTCCTCCATTTTTTCGTAACGCGTGGCGTGTACGTACGTGCGCGGTCCCGATGCTGTCGTCCCGTGATACCCCGACGTACGACGGCTGACGACGAGCTGGTAGACGAAGAGAGAGAGAGAGAGAGAGAGAGATAGCGAGCGACCTAACCGAGGCGGCGGTGCAGTTTCGATACGCTGACGGACACCGGCGCGGGCGAAAGAGACAGAGAGAGAGGGAAGACACGTCGCGAGCGTGCGCGAGTGCGACGAAGTGAGAGTCCCGGCGCGAGAGGGAAAGCGTGAGAGAGAGAGAGAGCGAGAGATATTGAAAGGGAGCACGTAAAAGAGTGTAGGTGTTCTTTGGAGGATAAGTGCGTACGCTCTTGGGGCCGACGTGGAGGAGAGAGGAGGGACCGTCCGTCCGTCTATCCAACTGTCTGCTGGCATCCACGGGGGCCGAATGGCTACAAGGACGGTGGAGAGCGGGGGTGAGTCCGCGGCGACGATCCTCGACAACAATACCGGTATCGCTACGACGACGGGCCCTCTCGCGGAATCGTCGTCGTCGTCGTCGTCGTCGACGTCGTCGTCGTCGACGTCCTCGCCCGCCGCCGTCAATGCCGTCATCCTGACGGAGAGTGCCGCCACGAGTGCCGGTAACCTGCCCTTGACTGGATCGTCCCAGAGCGGCCTGCATCAGGTGCAACAGACGCAGCGACAGCGAGTCAGCCTGATCGACGACGTAGCCGCCAGTGATGTCCCAGGTAACCTCAATGACTCTCTTTTATATCTCTAGGGCCTTTGTTAATGAGCCGCTTGCAGAAATCTTTCTGTCTTTCTTCCGTCTGTCACTTTCCTTGTCAAGTCTATCCATCTCTTTCTTTTTAGTTCTCCCGCTCGCTCTCTCTCTCTCTGTCTGTCTGCCAGTTGCTCTCCTCCCTCTTCTTTTCCCCTTCCCTTGCCCTCTTCCTCGTGTCTCGGATCTTCCTCTGTCGTCTGTTGCATCGCTCTGCTCCGGATGAATGATTGCTCCGATCCAGTTCGGAATCCGCGGGTGTTTATGAATATTTGAGGAACTCGTTTCTCTTCTAAGATAAATTAGTTGAAATAATCATATTTTCTTTTCTCCTCAGATAAAACCCGAATAAACTCGCGCGAGTCTTTTTGAAGAGGAAAATTTATGTCGTAGCGTAAATATGCCTTGAGCGAACGTTCGATACGATCGAAAAAGATCTGTAATTAAAGGTAATTCGCTTAATGCGCTCGTCGTGCGATTTCATTCGACTCCGAGTGCATCTAGTCACGATTGCGCGAACCAAATTGTGCGTTGCAAATTGTTTCTTAGCAGTAGATAGACAAAGAGAGTTTTCTCTTTTAGAGTTTTACCCTCAATATATAGTATTTACTGGTAATTAATTGTGAAACAATATATGGTATTGGAAGAATTATATAATATTAGTTTCTCTTATTAATATTTTTTTATCACAATAAAAAATATTATTTACATATTAATATTTTTTACTGTAGGAAATATTAATCGGAGAAATTCATAAAATTCTTCCAATATCATATAATGTCTCACGATTACCGTGATTTTCAGGGAAAATTCTAAGAGAAAATTCTCTCTGTAGATTTAAAAGTATTTTTTACTTTGGGAATTAAAATCCAATTACATAATTTCTTAAAATATGCAAAAATATGTAAAGAGAGAGCTTTTAGCATTCGTTCTATACACAGAGTGAATCTTCTCTCAGAATTTACCCTGAAAATCGTGGAATAATCATGAAATAATATAGTAGAAGAATTTTATAATCTACCACAATAAAATATATGTTCGATTAATTTTATTATGTATATATTAATATTTTTTATTGCGGTAAATATTAATCAGAGAAACTCTGTTAAAATTCTTCTAATTATTATCCCACGATTACCATAATTTTCGGGTTTAAGTTCTGAGAGAAAAATTCTCTTTGCGTAAAAACCGCGATGTATAATCTCGTATAATTCATTGCCTACGTTTTAATTAGCGCGTTATACGGTAGCTGTTGTGTCTTAATGACGCAACAGGCGTCTCGGAACAAATTTCGAGTTGCTCGCGAAATCACTCGCGAGTGAGTGTCTAGGCCTCCCTGTTCGGTCCTCGTCTCGAATTTAGAACAGACAGCCTTCAAACGCTTTTTTATGAATATTCTACTGCTGCTCGGTTGCATCGACCCTTCGCGGGCAAAATAGCGGTTTCGTCGAAATGAGACTCGTCTTTATTTACGTCGACATTGCCCCACTCCTTTTTCTCCTCCCGCTTTTTTGCTTTTTTTTCTCTCTTTCTCGGTTGTCTTTACGCCTTTTCCGTTCTTCCTTCGTCGAGAGCACGAGAGATTGCGAGACAAGTTTTTCTGACACAATACCATACAGGCACGATTACCTCTTTACAGGCCTCTTTTCTACTCTTCTTTTTCTTCTCTGTTATATTCATTCGGATTGTATTTTTTTTCTATGTTTATTTATTGAGATGAAACTAGCTCCGATATTCCGCGAAGCTCGTTTACATGAGTATTCATCATCATTCGGACACGAAGACTTCGCTAAATATTTCAAGTCGAGTAGACTGGGACAAGTGGCAAGCCGGTTCTAATTCATTTGAATATAGACACTCTGTGCAGAAGAGCAAATATGAAGAGACAGAATTTGATAAATTTCTCGATAAATTATTGGAAGAAAATTTAAGATATGTAATCTCTGTCTAAAGTTATAAATAAATTTGTCAAAACTTTTTTCTTTTTTTTTTTTTAATATCCGATACTTCCATTTGTCCCAGCTTATCCGTCCATTTATATAATCATGCCCTTGTTTGATCCAGTAAAATTTAATTAGAGAATTACATGTGTTGAACTGCTCTTTACTGCTACTATATATATGCTTTTGGAAAAAG